AGCGGTCAGATCCCGCAGCTCCCTCCCCAGGCATGGCAATGGCTCGGGCAGGCATTTCTGCTACTGTCATTTTGGAGGTGTACGTGCTGCTCCCCGCGAACCCTCTGTCCCCAAAGCAGTGTGCTCCAGCCCAGCAGTCAGAGAATCATAGAATCGTTATGGTTGGAAAAGACCTTTAAGATCATAAAGTCCAACCGTCATCCAACTCTACTATGCCCACTTCTAAAGCACACCCCTGAGCACCATATCGAGACGGCTTTTAAATACATCCTAGGGATGATGATTCCACCACCTCCCTGAGCAGCCTGTTCCAGTCTTTAATAAACTTTCAGTGCAGAAGTTTTTCCAGGATGTCTAACCTAAACCTCCCCTGGTGTAACTTGAGGCCATTTCCTTTTGTCCTCTAGGTTGTAACTTGTGAGAAGAGACCTGCACCCACCTCTCTGCAACCTCCTTTTGGGTAGTTGTGGAGGGCAATAAGGTCTCTCCTCAACCTCCTTTTCTTCAGACTAAATAACGCCAAGTTCCTCTGCTGCTCCTCGTAAGACTTATTCTCAAGACCCTTCACCAGCTTTGTTGCCCTTCCTTGGACCCTCTCTTTAATCCTTCTGTGCAGTTCTGTTTGCCAGCCTGTCTGCTATTTATCTCCATTTGAGAGCCCTATAAAAGCTCCACCATTACATTAGAGATGTCTGGCAGAGGCTGTGTAACATTTCCCAGTCAGCATGTAAATTCTGCCATTAAAGGGTCTCCTGGAAAAGCACCAAAGGGACACAAACCCCTGGAGGAGGGGAGGTGGGGGCAGGCTTCCCTACATACTGTGATACCATACACCTTCCATAAACATTACATTGTGTGCTATATAGAGAATATTCACCCTGGTGTCTGTGTGAGGTGCCCCTTTTCTAAAAACCAGCCTCCCCAGCAGGGACTTGCATTGCACCTTCCTGTCATAGAAACATCGAGGGTAACACAGCCCCATTCCTTCAGAAGAGAGACTGGAGTAACATTAGATCAGTAAGGTGGAAGGGGACATACGGTCACACGTAATCTGCCCGCTGGAGCAGTTGTAGCGGTACGGCTCCGTATAGGGGTTGTCCACGAGGAATGTGCATGATTCTAGTTTCTTTGCCTCTGAGTAGCAGTGATCATGTGCTTGACAGCACCTGGGAATCAAGGAGGAAGAGGTCACAAAATACCAGAAATGCAAATTCAGCTGACCTGTAAGACACATAAATATGCCAGGATTGCTTTGACAAGGCACTGAACAGAAAGAAAAAGGATACCCAGCGATCGAAGGGGGACATGGTTCTGCCAGCAAATGATGCAAGAGGTGTCTGGTACACGTGTACTTACTGGAGCATCTTCACAGTTGTCTACTTGGCACAGGAAAAGCAAAAACCAGCGTTTACCCTACATGCCCTGTCAATGCCTGGCAGCTGAAGAGCGAACAGCCAACACAATTCACTGTGTCTGGGTTATCAGACTTGTGTCATGTCTAAACTGCACAAGTTACTTCTTAGCAGCCCAGCCCTGTGTTGATGGTCATGCACTGGGCAGTGTGCTCAGAGCTGCGTCCAGGCTGCTGGCACAGCACCGCTCCAAAAAAAACCCTGCTGGAATGGGTGCAGTGTAGCTGCCACAGAAGAGAAAACAGAGTTGTTGAGTTTATATTTTATCTTGGTAGTAAGGCATCAAGGTGTGATAGTACACATCCTTTTTTTCCTTGCATCAGTCTTTGAGAGAAAGCTTCATTCACAGCAGCCAGAGTTTTGTCAACATTTATAGGACCAGCTGAGATGAAGCTGGCATGCAGAACTGTGAAAGCACAGGCAAGGAAAGAGGTTTGTAAAAGCAGTCTTATAAACCTGTCAAGTTCATCCACTGGAGTCCCGCTGCCTCCCAAGCCGCAGTAGCAGCCGTAGTCCCCAAATTCCAGCAGAGGGTGGCTGTCGGGGATGGTGCATTTGATCATGCTGCGAAACTCCCACAGGGCCCGGGGTGAGACAGCCGCGCTGGCTGCGCCCACTGCGAAGAGATGCAAAGGTTAGAGTTAGTCATGGTGTTACCAGTCTGGGGGTGCTGGGGGGTGAGCGCCCACACACCAGACAGCAGGAAGAGCAGCACCAGGGACTTCATTCTTGGAGGACTTCACGTGGGGACTGGTGCTATAGAAAATGTGGCTCTTTATAAAACAAGCTCACCTTGACATGGGCATGAGATAAACAAGCCAGTATTTATGTTACTAAATGCAGATTTCTTCCATTGGAGGCTGCGGGCAGCAGGTCAGTTGAAGGCCAGCAGAGTAAAAACTCTGAAAGCCGGGAAAGCAAATATTTGCTATCTAGATTTTTGCCATTAAATTATTTTAATGGTCCTATGAGAAGCCAGCCTGAAAGATCTGGACATGTTTAAGGGCTCCCTATTAAAAAATAGTAGCAGTGTGGTAGTTACGTTGGAAATTGGTGGCACACTAATATCCATCCTACTAATACTGACATCCTCTTTTAATCCACTTACCATTAATCCTGCATCTCTCCATGGGTTCTCCTGGCCTAACACAGAGAATAAGGTACAGGGCATCCACTCACCCCACATGACAATTTGGCATGAGAGGAACTGAAAAAAAATAAAGCTGTTTACTTTGAAACCCCAGAGGAGAAGGAAGTAGGTGAGGAACGGGATCCAAGCAACCTATAAAGCCTGTTTCTGGCTTAAACAAGGAATAGTGTCAGTTTTACGTGACCTTAAGGGAGTTACACTGGAAATTAACTGGGTTAAGTTTCAGTGTACACAACAGACTTCAGTAGCTCAGAGACAGCAGTTTCTCTTTCTCCAGCAGCAAAGCAGAACCCAGTCAGGCCGTTTGGTTCTCTATGCCAAGGCGTAGGGCAAATTGGGAACCTTGAAAGAAGATAAAAAAATTGGGCAAGAAGCAGCTTCCTGGAACCAGCCAGGGGTGAGTCCAAAATACTGCACTCATATCCAGACCCCGGAGACTCTGATGCTGTCACAGCTACAGGTTTGGCATTTTAACACACAAGATACAGATCCGAGACTGCTCACTTGCCAGTCTGCATTTATTCCTGAAGCAGCAAGCAAGCCTTCAGTATTTAAGAGCAGAGGAAAAGCCAAAGCCCACTGTTCCACAACAGCTTAATGTACCATAGTGCTTGCTCAGGAAACTTAAGCTTCACTACCCTTCAGCAGGTTCAGATGCATGTTTCTGTATGGGACAATGAGGACATCTTCCTCCTCAGGGTGGCTGAAACTATTCCAGGGCACCCAGTCTGCACAGGATGTCGACACATCCATGGGACGTGTACTTAAAGCTAGGCATGCTGATGAACAACCAGCACCCTTCTGACTTCTTGATGTCTCACATGCTCTTCAATTCTGGGATTCCCACCACAGGTCAGCCAAAGCCAGCCAGCCAGTTCCAGATTCAAGATTCTTGTGTCCTGACAGGGAGGACACTGAGCAAACATTAAAGGCTGACGTAAAGGACAGCCTGCACCACAGCTAGTTTGGAAAAAAGGAATTAGTCTTTTGCCCACAGATCCACCTGCTGACTTTCCCTTCAGTAGCCGTTGAAATGTTTTCTTTCTCCCTTGCTACTTTGGCCACCTTTACTCTTTTTAAAAATGATTTCTCTGTTCTCTTACCCATGAACCTGAAGACTCTGCGGTTCCTTTTTCTTCACTTTTCAACATCTATTATTGATGCTGCCAAGAAATAAACTGGCCTTCTTAGGTCACAAATAGAATACTGTCATATCTTGGATTACATACATTTTAATTCAACAGGAGGATCGCCAAGTGTGGGAAAGTGAGCATGTGAGCATTACAGCAGTGCCTCATGAGAAAAATCCCAGCAGGGTAAAGATTTTTCCACCAGTGCTATTTTTGGTTTCCCCCAACCTGTGCTGCACACAAAGCTGCTGTTTCTCAGTGTGGTTGTGAGGACATCCCAGCTTACAACTGGTTCCTAAACTTACAGGCTTCAGCCTTAGATTATTTTTATATATTATCTCTGTAATTAAGAGCTGCTGCACAGGGATTCCCACCCTATTTCACACTGTAATCATTTACCTTCCTCTTGTAGTGTTGTCTGCTAAGGACTTTTCCTCCTTTCCCATCTTTGCATTTTGTTTCTTAGATGTAGCCTCCTTGGTCCTCACTGAATCCAGAGCATCTGAGCCAAACTTCTAAGCGCCACACTATCTCCTCCTTTTGTGAACTGACAAATATCTATACAAAACCTCTGTAACACAGACAGACTCTCCATTAAAACCAGATCTGCCTCACATCATCAACTGGGCCACTGCCAAAGTCTGGGAGCAGACCATGGAGTCAGAGCCCTGCCTGGGGCTTTTATCCGAACGGCACCCTGCTAGGGTGAAGTTCACCTGAAATCTTCCCCTTTGAAAATCTCCCAGCCCCAAATAACAACAGAGAAGGACAGTTTTCAAATAATTTATTAGGAATTTAAAACTGAAATCTGGAAAAAGGGTTACAGGTGTGGAGAGAACAAACATTGGAGTGTAATAACTTACTGGCTTAAAAACACAGCTTTATTTCTTTTAAAAAAAATGCCCACCCTGAAACCGGAGCCCCAGCCTCCAGGCAGTGGCAGCACTGGCCAGAGAGTGAATCACAGCCCAGCAGTGGCACAGCTGGCCTTGGATGTCTGGAGGGGGCACAGAAGCAGTTCAGCGCATATACCAAGAGGGAGGAAAGCGCTGTCCGCAGACCCAAATTTGAAGTATACAGAATAAAAATAAACCCAATAAAATGCAGCTCTTCTTTAATTAGGAAATATTTAAAAAAACAGACATACAGACTCTTGTCTCAGTAACAAAAATTATTGCTTTGTGTTTTCAGTACTAATCTGTAAGTACCCTCTTACCTAAACAGAACTCTCCAAACGCATCGCCCAGGTCAGGACAAGCTCCGGCAGACGGGGAGGGATGGAAAAGAAGGGCCCTGTGGCCCTCCTGGTCCTTTTCTAAATGCCCCTCTCCCTTACAGGGGCTCAGTTTGGGGGAAGAGAGGGAATGATTTTTAAAACTTAAGATGAAGCTGTTATTTCCCTGGGAAAAGAGTTTGGCTGCATCTTAATAAAAGGCTTAATCACCCCCCTTAACAAGGTCTTTGGTTCACTGAAATCCAGACCCAAACCTGCCCCGTGTACCCCCGCTGGGGCTGCCCCTGGCAGTGCGCTCCTTAGCGGGGCCCGGGCCACGCCAGGGGAAGCCCTGGCAGGCGCTGGAGAAGAGACTAGACCACCCCGCACAGGACAACGGACAAAATCCCACAGTCTTCAGAACATAGAGTAAAGCAAACGGGAAGCTGCAATTCTGTAATTCGTGTAATCCCTGAGAAGCCCTTAACCCGCCCCCAAATCACCACCCTAATGCTTTTCTCCCCCTTAACAACTCCCCAACCCAGCGCCCTGCCCTTCAGAGAACAACCACCCGAATCTCCCCCTGGCCCTGGCTGACACCCCTTTCGATACCCTCGCCTCCGGAGGAGGATCCCCTTCCCCAGGAAATCTCGACGCAAGCGATAGTGTTTGGAGAGTGAATTCCTTTCAAAGTAACCAAGACAAGCGATGGCGGCAAAGCCCTTGACCTAAAGCCAAACCAGAGGCTGGCGCTACGGAGCCCAGTGATGGAGTCTGTACATCGAGCGATCGGAAGCAGCTTTAACCCGCTCAGCAAAACAGCCGATGGCTGCTACGTTTCACCCCCGCCCCCACCCCCCCTTTCATCTCATCAGAGGTCTTAAAATCTTACAGTAAAAGGTGTACAAAAAAAGAACGGAGTCCTGTCAGGATTCTGCTGGAAAGTATTGCTCACGCTGCGGCACCAGGTCCAGGACCTGGAGCTGCTCCTTGGAGCCGGGCTGCAGGCAGCAGCCAGGTTCAGCTCACGATATTTACATATTATACAGGAGGAAAAAGAAAACCCCACATAAAACTAAACCTAGGAAAAAAATTCTTTCAGCTGTAAGGATAGTGTTTTTCACTTAGCAAAATATACATTTGTTTTGTTCCATAGCGATGTCCAACGTTTTCGGATCCTTGGAGTTTCACACTTTTCAAAGCCTCACATTTACAAAACAGAAACAATTAAAAACAGTTTCTTTAAAAAAAATAGAAATACATCAGTTCCTCTCAGCCTTTGCTCTCTCTGCGTCTCTTTCTTCCCTTCAGAACTGCATTCTCGTTACAAACCGTGCTTTAAAAACACTGACGACAACAACAACAGAGTTGAAAATATTCAAAACAGTTTCAAAGCCAAATAAAAATACTCCTCAATAAAAACTACCTAACACAATCACAAAGCCAATTCATAAAATATGTCTACTAGCTCGGGAAAGAGCAAACAACAAAAAGAAGGGGTAGCCCCAAAAAAAGATAAAAAAATAAAATAAAAAAATAAAACTAACAGCTAATAAAATAAATAAAAGAAGAATCGGTGGGCTGGGGGCAGGGAGAGGGGAAGCGTAAACCGTCGGTGGTTAGTAAGAAAGCGAGATGATCTCCTTGGGTTCAGTCCAGTGTGGTCTGGTCAAAGGGAGAGATCAGGGCAGGGCGGCAGGGGCCTGGCAGCCACCGGCAGTGTGCAGTTTGATTCAAGAGAAAGGTAACCTTGGCTCATCCCCCGAGGCTCACCAGATCCTCCAGCCGCTGTCCTCGGTCAGGTCACTGGGGAATCTGCGGGACACAGCAGGGGAGGGAAGGGACAGGATCTAGAACCACCAACAGCTGCTCGCCCGGGCTTTTCTTCCAAAATATTCGATACCCAACTTGCCCCAACGCAGACTTGCTCTGCATCTCGCTGGCACAGCGATGGTGCACGGCGCAGATCCTTCCATCTTTAATGGCAAGGTGAGGGCCTGCGAAGCGAGGCCCCGCATGCCGCGCAGGCTGCCCGGACCTGTGGCACTCCTGCCCCAGGAGGCCTGTGACGCAGCGGGGCCCAGCCAGTTCTCCAGCACTCAGCTCAGCACAGCCCTGCCAGGCTGCCAAGGGCTCCTGCCTGGACCCTGTTCCCTGCAGATTTTTACTCTTCTTTTTGAAAAGTTTGTTTGTTTGTTTGTTTTTCTTTTTAAGTGAGTGAACTTCAGGCACGT